ACCTCCGGGGCAGGCGGGGATCGAACTCATGCGGAAGTGGCTTTGACTTCTTTAGTGCTGTGCTTTAACCCGCTGCGCCACCAGGGAGGGCCTTAATAGGTATTTTTAATCCTCATGTTTGTGACTTTGTTACAGGACATAAAATGCTTAAAGGAAATCTGTAGACATTTTCTATACTAGGCCTTGGTGTGAATCTATCCTAGATAGATGGAGCTATCTTTACTTTGCAGATACTAGAAAAACATGGAAGAACTTTTTTCTGATGTTCTTATTCTCCCCGTCATTTCTTATTTACAATTCAAGTTTATGGCTTTGGTAAGATAAAGCCCTCATCTTACAGACGTCTCATTAGCAATGTTCATTTTTCCCCAAAAGGCGAGGAACATGGGATCCTACCATGTAGCAATGCAATGAATGTGAAATTTTATGTTTATCTAAGCCTTGATATTTCTTTCAGCTCTTATATTTCTGGGGTTGGCTCGGCTGACAATGTAGCTAAACCTCTCTTGTTACTAATACTCGTGTTATCTTTTATAGGGACAGAAAAGAGTTAATCTCATCTACCTAATATTACATATGTTGTTTAGAATTATTCTATTTTCTTTACATTTAAAATTTGAATTTGCAGAATTATACTGCCCATATTTTATTTTCTGAACCTTCAGCTGCTTTTAGCCTGTAGATGTAATCCTAGAAATAATCTTAAACTCCTTTTATATTTTGTGGGTTAGTGATTTTCAAGATAAATCATGGTTTTGGAGTAGTTGTTACTGCTGACAGTATTGGTATTCTTCAGGTGTCTCAGCGATAGGACACAAACTGCCAATCATCACTGTCACTTTTGTGGTGATTATATAGAAGTTTGTACAACTGCTGTTCTCCTAAAAACTAAGCCCACTGGGCATACATATGCCTCAGATTTATTACTTTTCTGGTATGAAAGTAATATATGGCAATTGCAGGCCAATTAAAAACTCTGGAAATAAGTGAGTAAAATAAAAATAATCCTTAATTCTATTATCTAGAGATACCAGTTATAATGCTTTATTATAATTTCTACTTTTCTCCTATGCATACATATTTTAGTCAAGGGAACTAATGTGGATTCACTTAATGCTCTTTTTCCTTCACATATAATACCTGACAGCTTATTTTTTAATGAAAAAAATTAACTTAAAATTTATAAAATAAAAATTTCAGTAAAAATTACAGAAAACATTTGTTAGCAGATTAAAGTTGCTCATAATTTTATATTATAAATTACTATTAATTTTTAAATTTATTAATTTTTCTATGAAGACAACTTTTACCCTAAAATTAAAAAAAAATTGTATGTTCTCTACATCCTTACAATAGATCTTTTAGGAATGCTTATATCTCACAAGCCCCATTTCTTTAGGTCCTGAACATACTACATTGGTACCAAATGTCATCCTCCCATAGTGGACTCATTCTTGGTATTCAGTTTTTATTCTGAAGGTAGATTTGTTTACAGGGATACTGTTTCAGAATTGGAATACATTGGGTAGTCATTTTGTCTACCATGAGGAAGGAGTTCTAAGGAAAGAGCCACCAAGAAAGCTGATCTGCACTGAGAATGAAGAATGAAGTAGACCTGCATCAAGGTAGCCCATCCATCAAGCCTCTTTGACAACAGGTTATGTTACTCTTGACAGTTTTTTTAGAACTCCTAATTTTTAAGCTTAGCTCTAAATAATATTACTCTGTGTACAGAAGATTCTTTTTTTTTTTTTTTAAAGATTTATTTATTTATTCATACAGAACGGGTACAGACCAGAGATGCGGAGGGTGAGAGGATTCACCAGAGACAGAGCAGGAAGCAGAACAGGCAGATCGATGAAGTACACTGCTGAGGGGAGCAGCGGGCGGGTCAGGAGAGGTCTGCCACGCCATGTGGTCACCTCCGGGGCAGGCGGGGATCGAACTCATGGTGAAGTGGCTTTAGTTTCTCAGTGCAGTGCCTTAACCCGCTGCGCCACCAGGGAGGGCCCCAGAAGATTCTTTTTTAATAACCTAGTGGGCCTTTCTTAGATACCAGAGACTAAATAATAAATACATACTAAATACTTTACATATAGAAATTAATCCTCACATCACACCTGTTATAATTTCTGTTGTTGCCCTATTTTAAAGAGACCCGGGAAATTCCCCTAGCTACACAGTGAGTGGTAGTTGAAGGCTTGTGGAGAGATAGCTGGAATTGCTTGAGTCCTGCGACGTATGGGGCTGCTTCTGCCACATACTGCTCCCTCCCTCCAGGTATTTCCTTTCCATTATTTTCTGTTTCTAGTAATTCATAGCCATCCTTTAGAGACAGTGGATACTAGCTAAAAAGATCAATGACCACCAAGAAAAAAAGACTGCCTATGTTTTTGAACTCTACATTTCCAGGCCTGTTTCTACTACAACTGGGTGAGTACTTGCTGCCTGCTCTTAGCAGCAGTAACATAATAAATGATCTGTTTCATTTGTGTGTATTGGGAGAAACTTAGGTTGAATTTTACTTATGAAGACAATTTTACTTATGAAGAAATAAATAAACCTAGTATATAATTAGAATAGCTGCTTACCCTGGAAGAGATTACTTATATTAAAATTATATAAATTGTCAAATTATCACTTGTTTTACCATGGGTATGTGTATCAAATGGATTTGTAGTATGTATTTTTAGGATTGAGCAAACTGGGACATAAGGTGTCATCTTTAAAAGAATGAGAAATTACCTGCTTTTTCTCTCAAAGGAAGGGAAGCAGTGTTCTCATTAATTGTCATCTCATTCTGTAAGTTAACCTTGGAAGTTATCTTAAAACCTAATTGTGCAAAGAAATCAATATTCCCTAGTGGTTTGTACTAACTTTGTTCTCATCCTGTACATTCTAGGCAGAAGGAAAGAGTATAGCTTCTTTAGAATGTTGATTTTGGTGTTAAGTCTGTATTTGAGATTTGGTTTTGCTACTTACTATTTAATCTGGGACACATTACTTAAATGCAGGTAAGTAGAAGTTAACTTATGAATTAAATGAGGATAGTAGTACCTACAGAAAGGAATTTGGTGATTAAGTGAATTATATGAAGTTTTTAGCACTGTACTTGCACATGGAAATGCACAGTAGTTAAAAACTTGTCAAGTGTATTGATGATTCCTCTCTTTCAGCCTGGTCTTCTCTGCATATTCCTAGTTGTACAAAAGACTTCTCCACTGGCATCCACTTTCACTGTCCTTACCCTTCTTGCTGGCATAATCATCTTACTCTTGCTTGCACTAAATATTTTGGAGGCATCCTGGACACTTCGGGTCACTAAGCTGTCCATTCTTTCTCCCTAATATCTCTCCAGTTCATCATATTGGTTGGCTTCAGTCTCACTACCATAATTTAGGTTTTTCTTCTCTTAAGAATAGATCTAGTAGTTTCTTCCAAACACACTGTACCCGCCTCTTTGTAGGTGTTAGGTTATTTTGGATACTTGGCTAGAAAAGACAAAAAGCTGCTAATATGTAGTCATTTGATTGAGTTTACTTTCCCATGTGGTTTTACTACTTCCTCCTTACTTATTTATGCTTTTATCTACATCCTGTATACCTAAGCAAAATGAGCAGTTCATGTCTTAGGCTTAGCTTGCAGATCTCTTCAGGGTGAAAAGGAAACTGCACTGAAAGATAGCAGGAGGACAGTAGTGGAATGGCTCCCCCAAATGACTAAGCAGCTGCTGAGGGTTATGCAATAGACAATTACTGGTTTTTGCTGCTTTGAAGAGTAGGCTGCAGGTTTGCTTTGATGCCCTTCTTGAATAGTGTCTTGAGTTGAAAAAAAAAAAAAAACCAAAAAAACTGAATTTGCAGGAACTTCTGAAATAGCCCACCTAAAAGAAATGTCCCGGTTAGTCAAGACTATGTTTTGTGTTAAGCAGACTTTACGGGTAGGTAAAAGTACATTGAATGCAATGTGTTTCTGGACGATCAATCATAGAAAGTTGATTCAGTAGCAAAATAGCTAAGAAAAACTAAGGATGGGTTGGGAACACACGTCAGCATTTCATCTAGCTTCTGCTGCAATTTAAAGCCAGGATCCTTTTCTTCTGTGATCAATGTTTGAGAAAGATAATAACTGAAAATTTCCAACTTTGCTTGAATTATTTAGACCATAATTTGTTTTGAAAACTTTATCTTGAATGATTTAGATACTTGCATTAGCTTTTAATTTTGTTTCTATTAGAAACCTGGCCATTATCCAGGAATGTTTAGAAACCAAAGCATTAAGTGTAGTTTCAGCTGTCCAGGCTCTAGATCAGAAGAAATAAATAGCCTTTTTTGGTGTATTGGATCAGATAACATACTTCATGGGATATGGAGGTAAGTTTATGAAAAGGGCAAATAGTGTTACCCTTGAATTTAAAATTCTGCTCAGTATAAGGCTTTTTATAGGCAAGATTATCTTAGGGATATGGATGTGAAAATGTTTCGTATAATTTAATTTTTCTTGGAAGAGGAATATGTTTCTGTCCTTCAGACTTTTCCCCTTGTCATTAAATATTTTTGTTTGTAAAGGATTTTTAATTCTTTGAGGCATACACTTAGATTTCATAACTAAAAAATTCAAGTACTTGTATAGTATTTGAAGGTTTTTTTTCCCAATTTAGAATTGCGTTGATGCTTCTTCAAGGAAGAAATACATACTTATTTTGAAGCAAAAGCTAACAAAGTAGGGTTATATATGATACAAGTGTGGAAGTTAGTTTAAAATACCTGAACACTTTTTTCCCTGTCACTAATATTGCATAGAAATATTTAAAGTATGAAGTAAAATTTGGTAGTTATTATCTTGATCAAATTATTATATACATTGTATTGAAATCTGTATACTCAATGAAGAAAAACAAGATGAGTTTGCAAAATCTGGTTTAATTCATATCTAGGGAGAGGAAAGAGGAGCACATAGTGAAAATACATATGCACAGAACCTAATAACTGCTAGACAAACAATGTATTAGTTTACAACATAACAGGATAACCACAAATTCGAAGGCTCAAGTTGAGTCCATCAGTGGCAAATACAACTTTGTTTGGCTCAAGTGGCTGTTGAGTATCAAGTGGTGCTGCGTTCCTCCAAAGCACCTAATGACCCCCAACCATAGGAGTTTCACCACAGTCTCAGAAGAAATCCCAGTTGTGCCTTTAATTCTTTTAGCTCTTGGGAGTCACTGCTGCCCAAGTACAAAATGCAGGCCAGGGATTTCATTGGCCACATGTTATTGCACAGAGAGGTCTGTCTAAGTCAGACACATATGGCTAAGAAGTTGTGAGATTAGCCCTTAAATATAGTGGTCTAGCATTAACATGGTCTATTAGGCATGTTAAAAAATAGCTTCTTAGTGATTATGTACCAGCTACAAGTTATCACACTAACAGAAAAGGCAATGTGGCAGCTTCACATTTTACATGAAAGACTAGCATTAACTGGGCCTGACTTGCTGGCTTAAGCTTTCACAAAAATCTAATGATCATTTGGACCCAGGAAAAAAATGATTTTATACCAGTCTTTTCTTCACATCAGTTTGTGTAGCATTAAACTTGTTATGGGTTAATGACTAGGCCGTGAAGGCGAAACTGTGTAACTCTCCTTTGCCAAAACAGAACCGTTCTGACTCCTGTCCAGTTTCCAAAAACAAAACATACATACACCTTTGTTATTGCACATCTCTCACACAGACTTGTGTATGTATAATATACATATATATATTTTTAAATATGCTACACATAAAAAGACTATGGCACTTTACAGAATAAATGTTTAACAAAAGATCATTACACCACAGATGCTTAAAAACTATACAAAAATCATTACATAACGCAATATTGTTGAGTTTGCACACAGGTTTAAAGAACCCACAGAATCAAAGGCAAGTAATTCTACCTCCTTGTAGTTTGAGAAGCCCAGCCAATAATGAAACTTTAAGCACAAATACAGGCAAAAGTAAGACTTCTGGTATTATTATTCAGGTATATTAGACTGAGTTGGTGATAGAATTTTATTAGAACAGGTGTATGTCAATAGTAAATGTCTTAAACAGTTTCTTTCTACCACATATTCACTGGTCTTTAAGCAGCTAGGCTGTTCTGATCTACACTAGTTGGATTTTGGATGTTCCATTAATCCATACCCAAAGGCTGGCTATGGACTGAAGGGTTAAAAGACCTAATATTAGGCTTTTACTCTGTCCCTGCTAGACATGCTGTTTATTTAGTGTTTAGATTATAGTTTTGTATGTGCTTTTCTCCTGTGTAGTATCCAGACTCAGAGACTGTCTCCTGGTCAAGGTAGGTCACATTTTCACTTGTGACCATTATTATCATGGTTATCTAAGGATACCTTCATGATGCCTTGGCCATGAAGATCTGCCAGTAAAGGTGATGTAGATGCTTAGAGGACCCTCTGGGCTTATTATTTAACTTGTCTATAAGGAGAGTAAGATTGGAAAATTAGTGTTAGGAACGACTTCTCTAAATTTAAAAAAAAATTAAAATTTTTTTAAAATGAAAATGACAGGGCTCAAAAAGTAGTTATTTGATGGCACTGGGACTTGGTTAGAGCATATAAATGCACTGTTGGAGACAGGGGTACCCATCTGTTCTGTGGTATCAGAGAAAGGCTTAATTACTATTTGAGTGCTTAAATGTAGGCTGCTGTGAGGATACCCCTTCCCTTTACCAAAAAACATCACAGGATTTAACATCTTGCTCATTTTGAACTTTGGTCCGAGAATGGTGAGTTTATCTTTCCTTGGTTCCATACTTCTGTCCCTCCTGTCCTTAAATCTGAGATAAAGTGGTTTCTGCCAGAGGCCAAAGGTCAACATGGAACAAAAGGTGTTTCATTCCACCTATATGTAAAGCAATAAATTACTCCTCACTAATGTGTGGTTTGAGACTCACCCTTAAGATGATCACATGGGGTAAGGTTGTAACGTCTGTGTCAGGGTTCTTTCTATGCCTTGCAGTACTTTGCGCAGGGTATTGCATTGCTTAGTGATTACTTGTAATTTTCGAAACAAAGTAAGGCATGAACAGATTCATAACCCAAAGGGATGTATAGTTTTAATTTAGGAGTGTTTCTTGTAGCATTATGTAATTCTGAAGTTCAGGGTAATGTCAGGCTAGATTCTTGCTATTTAGATCTTTCTCAAGTAAACTGAGGTAATGGCCAATACCATTTTCTTGAGTTAATAAGATTGAGTTAATAAGAACAGGTAGAGGCAGGTGCAAGAGGTTGATCAAGCTCCATTTTTTCACCTTTGCAGTAACAGTGCTTTTCTGGGAATGTAACAATTCAACGTTCTTATAGCAAAATATACCATTCTGTTGCTTTATGGGTTGGAAATACAGCTGACTACAGCACTGTTAGCAAACGGTGGGTAAAGTTTTCTCAGTGAATAGCTGAATGAGTGACACAGTTAGTTGGCTTGGAGACTTCTGTCCCAGTGAGGTTTTGTTAGGCAGTCAGAGCATAATCCCAACTCAAGGAGGAAAACATTACTGTGAACTCTGGTGGAATGACTTTGTCTTCACTAGCAGGATTTTATACTTTTTCAAAACTCACTGTGACAGTTCAGTTGATCCACTTTACCCTGGACTTCAGCTTTGCATAAACTCCACAATAGATTCCACAGTGTCCTTCCTGCTGACCCTTTTGGTGAAGCGGCAATCTTCTGTCCACAAATAATCTGTGTTGTTTTTTGTAGTCTGAGACAACTTGACAAAACACCAACCCCCAAGTCTCATTCTGAGGCAGAGATGTTCATAGGTGTGCAACCTTGTGGCAGACACCTATCTTTAAACAGCCTGCAGATCTGGCTAATTGTTTTTGCTATTGGAGATGAACTGCTGCAAATGGTTTGGATCTTCATTCTTCACTGAAGAGATGGGGGCTGACATAACTTGTCAACTAGAAGTCACAGTTTACACAGTTTATATATATTTTCATGCATCTCTCATGATTTGCACTGTGGCCCTGATGTGCAGTATCTGCCTAATTGGAAGTTGTCTCACACTGGTCTTGCTAAGGATAAAAGCTATTTCTCCATTTGACTCAAGTGAGGAAACTGAAGGCGAAATGTTTCCAAACTAAAGGAGACAGATAAGGTTTTTCCCCTCTTCAATTTCTTCCTGTACTTTGTCACTAGAGGTTGCAATTTCAGCTTGTGCAGAGAAGACAGCGCAGATGAAGGTGAGGACAGTACCCCCGATGGCAGTATAAAAGGCCCAGCCTAAGGAGCAGTCTCCAGGTTTGTAGGCCGATGCATAGGGTCCGCAGTAGGTTACAGCCTTCTGGCAGCCCCAGCCAGCAGGGTAGAGTATCAAGCCAAGGATAAGGAACAGACCTACAGGAAAGAAGAGAAACAGGTGAAAACACCCATTGGCTCTATGCTATGAAGTGAGTATAGCTCTGTTGTGATTGTTACTTGATGTTGCATACTTTCTGCAATAACAAGACTTAGGTATTTCGGGAATATGGGACCACTAATTTCTAGAAAAGCAAATTAACTTGCTATTTATTTCTTCACAATGGCCTCTTACTGCAGTGAGCATTTCCTGTATGGCAGAGGTTGGTAAATTAAGGCCCATAAACCAAGTGTGACGTTTTCCTGAAGTACAGTTATGGATTGCCTCTGGCTGCTTTTGTGCTAGAACAGTGGAGTTAGTAATATGGCCTACAGTATTTGCCATCAGACACCAAGTCTTAAACAATTTTTAGTTTGCTATTAGTGAATTTGGCCTTGACTAGACAGTAAATCTTTTTTCATCTTGCTCATCATGCTACTTTGTGACACTGAAACATTGTTTTCTGCTTTGGTGGGTTAAACGATGTCCATGGCCAGGAATGAAGTGTTAGCAGACAAAGGCTCCCTAAATCAACTTATGAAAGATGATCTTATTTTGTATGGCAGAAAAAAAATCTTCTCTGAAAATTGATGCCCATACTAGAAAGAGTTCTGTATTTTAGATATCTTAGAACAGAAACTCTATCCTTAGTGAATCTTAGCTCTAAATTCTCTTTTCCTACCTTTCCTGAAAGTCTCTCCATAATGGTAGTGTTAAGGTTTGAAGGAAGATCACAAACAGTTGTTTCAAACTGCAGATCACAACTTTCATAGTTCATTCTAGGGTGTGTTTTGGGATCTGATCACCTTTACTTCCCAGATGAATCCTATTCTCTGCCAGAAGGAATTTATTAATATGCTCATTCTCTGAAATGGGTGATTCAGCTTTCTGAGAAAGGGCTGTAGAGCTGTATAGAAAATCCATTTCTCCAAAGAACTGGGAGCAGGAACTGAGCTCCAGCATTGGGAAACAAAAGCGGTATTGGTGAGGAATAGGAGAATGAGACAGTTGACGAATAATGTTAGAAATAGCTGGGACCATGGAACTAATTCCCTCAAAGATATAATAAGCAGCCATGGAGAATGTCTTGATACTCTGGAGTATGGGAAGACTCCAAAGCAGCAGTCTGGTTTTGAATAGATATTACATACCAGAATTCCCCCAGTCTAGTGCCAAGGCTAGAACACAAACCAGCAGGATAACGGACCATAACAAGATTCATTAAATTAGGAGATGTGCTAGTGATCTAAAACTAAGTGTTTCCATCAGAGCTGTGTGACCTTAGAAAAGTCACATACTTAAGTACGATTCCTCACCTATAAAATAGGTGCTCTTTAACTCAAAAGAAGGTAGTAAATATTAAAATGTACTTTCTACATAAGTCCAAAGCTGATATGAGACTGCTCCCACATATAAGCACAAGTAGTTTTTCAGCTTATTTTTGAGGTTATACTTTGAAAAGTGTAATAATTTCAACAAGGCTATAATTTAGTGCCCTTTATTAGCCTCCCATTGAACAGCTCTTACTAAACTGGGGAGATCTAGAATTACTAATAAAGATAAAGCTTGATTCCCTTGTTTTCCCCTTTATTCCCTGGGAAACCTCCTCTAGGAACATGGAACTTTTGCAGTTTCCAGTAGGTTTCTAAGTTCCTGCCCTGGGAACCCTGAAGCACACACTACTTTATAGCCTCAGCTGTCAAGCTCTATTGTAGCCCCTGGGGCTTCTAAGACCAGGGTGTTTAGACTTGAAATTACAGCTCCAGTTAAATACAGACTGCATACTTCATTTGTGTAACAGGTCATAAGCCCAGCATTTAACTACAATAGCGACCAAAGTGAAAGTATGGAGGTTGCTGGCACACAGCAGCAGCTCTGCTTACCCTCTTGCTCCTCATAGGATATGAAATACCTTAATTTGGCGTGACTCTTCCATCTTCAAGCAGGTTTAAAGTAAGTAATAAAATGCTTGTTTTAATATCAGACCCCCTTTCACAGCACACCAGGAATTTGTACACCCTCCTGTACAAATCAGCTCTTAAGTGTTTGTTCCCTTTTGTAATTGCTAAGATTCCCAAAGTGCCTTTCAGGACACCTTAAAATCTTAATGGCTGCCACTAACCAATTTGTGAATTAAACAGGGAGACTTTAGGAGAGTGCCAAGCCTTTGAGTATGTCAAAAGTCTCAGGTTGAATAATAATTCCATGGGGAAGACCACGCAGGATTATAAGAAGGGCTGCGATATATGCTGAAGTCACATACAACCCCCTCTGGGCAGCTAGCCTAAATAAACACAAGATTGCCTTACTTGACTTCTCCAGGGGTCACTGTGAGGAAGTTCCTACTGTCTACCCTGCCCTAGTTCTTTCTCCTCCATTTCTTCATAGTTTTCAATCAGACATGTGTCACAGTGGATCTTCAGGTAAATAATCATATCTGTCATCTTGTTGGGTATTTAGATTCTTAGCAGCAAAGGAATTCCAACAAGTTTTGTCATTCTGACTATTGCTCCCTGCACCTAATGCAGCTTCTGGGCGCTAACAAACATTTTTTTAGTCAGGCACAACTTTTTTTGCTTCCTCATAAAATTACTGCGAAAGAGCCAGTAAAATCCAGCTTTCTCTCCCTGATATTTAAGGTTCTATGTTACCTGTCTGGACTCAACCACTGCCTTTGTTGATTTCTGTGCTCCAGCTACCAGGCCCTTCCATGAACACTCCATGCGCTCACTTGAGCCATTTATTCTGCTTTCTAGCAGTGTTCTACTTCATCTTCTGGTTCAATATATTTAAAATTTCAACCTCCCCTCGATTTATAATTTCTCCTTAGCATTTATTACTAATATGCAATATATTGCTCTAACTTATATGAAACTCACTATCTGAACCTTTACTAATCTACAGAAATTCCATATAGTCATTTCCTATGGTTCAACCTAATACTTTATCCTAGAGCTTAAGCTCTGTATGGACAGGAATTTTTGTACATTTGGTTTATGCTATAAAGCACATGGTACACATTTAATAAAAATGTTTTTCAGCTTAGTTTGGTATATTGTCTAAATCATACTGTCCATAGGGGAAAGTAAAATAATTTTGACAGTTGATTGTTACTTTGTCCTGTTCTAGGCCTGTGAATCCAGGCTTTGAACTTGGACCCTGAATTCCAAAATAGGCTTGAGAATAGATGCTCATGACACAGACAATAAAAGGTAAGACATACCAAGTGGCTATAACTTGGCATGCTTTATTATGACCCTTAGTAACTCAGGAGTTACCAGCTTAGTTATGTCCAGAAATCAATTGTAAAGTGATGTATGCTAAGAGCCAAGTCAGAAAATGGTTTAATCTTCCCCTGCCTCTATTTAAAAAACAAACAAAAAAAACCAAAAAACAGTTTCTAAAGTTAAGCTAGCCATAGTAATCTTTGGGCCTTTCCATCATGTTGCCTTAATGTACTGTCATTTTTTATTTATGTGTGTAAGTTTTATAAAAGGTGACAGAGTAAGGAACTATAAGTGGGCATTTGCTTTTTCCCCCCTGACTGGTATCTCTGATGTTTAGCTGAGGGTGGCAGAACCAGTTGGCAGGGGAGAAAGAGGATCAGTACTGGTCATCAGAGAAATAGCTACCATTGAAAGAAACTATAACAACTTAGAGGGCTGCCAGACTCTGCTGTGGCCCAGCTTGAGAGGCTGTATCCAAGAAGTACCATTTTCTCCAACCCTTAAAGATTGCCTCATTCTCCTGCTAACAGCCTCCCAGTTTATTTTAAGTATGCATCTGCTCACACAGGATCACCAGGTGATTCTGTCTTTGGGGAAAGAAAAAGAAACTAATGGTTAGTCATATGGATGACCATAGAGACCCCACCTCTCAGGCAGGAGCAAGAAGGATGGGCTATCACAGTGCACTGTCCACTGCAGGCCTCTATTTCCCCTTTTAACTCAAACCTGTAGTCCCAGCAGTGCTATCTTGCTGCACAGAAATTCTGTGTCTCTAAGGACACCTACCCCTATGGCTTTAACTCAAAGAATTACACTCCATGAGAATAGAGAGTGTAGCTGTATCAGTGCTCCATTTCTAATGCCTGAAGCATTAGAAGATACTAAAATAAAACCACTCCACTGACCATCTGATTGTAAACAGACGGGGAAGGTATGGGAGAAAGGGGCCCAAATGAGCACTGAGGTTTGGTGGTGGGCAGGGTGTGAAAGTATATACACCTGTGGACCTTTGAACTTATACCCCCAGACCAGATAAAACTCAGGGGGCGAAGAGGAAGGAGTAGCCTTTGTGCTTTCTCATCAGTATTCAACACTGTGATTAAACCAGTCACAAAATTGTATGTCTGGGGTAGTTTTTCTACTACTGCCCTGAAACTGAATTATCTGTTATCAGGTAGATAAAAACCATTTCCACAATTCTGCCAAGTTTGTAATTTTGGAAAATCTAGACGCTGAATACAATAGAATAGAATTTTGTTTGGTCTAAAGATGACCATCTCAAGCTTTATGACTAAGGGATGCAGAGAGCAAAGTCTGAACCACAGCTCTGCAGCTGGTGAAAGCACAGATAGCTGTTTCACAATCTTGCCCTGGCTTCTAAGACTCTGTCATCATATCACATGATGGACATTCAGACTGCCTGCTGACCAAGAGCCTGGACTCAAGGTTTGTCTTTCATGAACTACCTACCATTTATAGTGAGGTATAAATTCTTCCTTATTGAAAAATATGAGAACTGAAGGCAGGCTCCTGTTCTACAGCATCCCAAGTCTTTACACATGATACTACTTTTTCTCCATCCAGGCTTCCAGACTATATAGTAAAGACTGTCTAGACCTCAGTTTGCAGAGAATTATTTTTCTAAGGACAGGAGAAAAGGCAGCCATTTGTTACAGCTACTGGCAGCCTGTGGGGAAGCTCCTAGTGCCGGGACCAGCACAACTGTTGTCATATGCTGCTCATCCTATAGCTAAGAAACATCCTAATATTTC